GCTGAGCCGACAAACAGCTAATCAGCTGTTTGTCGGCTCAGCGCGGCAGCCATGTAAATTTAAATGAAGCGGCGATTATTTAAATCGCCGCTTCATTTTCCTATGTCTGGTAGCCTAATCTACATGCCTCTGGCGACAGAGGCATGTAGTGTAGACGTACCCTGAGAGTCTGTTTATGTTAGTCATCATTTCAAAATATTATATGGCCTAGTTACCTGACTATAGCACTGTGACTGCTTGGTTCCAATTGAAATATCAATAAAGTTTCATTTTTGTGCATGAGAATAAATTAGTCAAACTATTATGGGTGGTGGGTTTTTTTTTTTCTTTTCAAAATCACTTCAAGGGAGTTAGGTATTTAGCTTTTGTTAACATCAGTGGGAATTGGAGGCCTACAAAAATACAATGTAGTGCAATTGTTTTTGTATTGCATGATTAGAGTAAACTAATTCTTTCCTCTTCAGTAATGATTTTATGCTGTGAAATGAGTGTCTCTCTTAAAAAAGCAGAGGAATGGAAATTCTGTGCCAGTAAAGGAATTGATCCAGCTTTGAAACTTGCATATGGGGTTATGCATTCACTGAAAAATGGAGCCTGCAATAGTTGAGAGTTTCTGGATACGGAAGAAGTGATGCTCGATATATTTCAGTTTCAACACTGAATGGAATAATGGAGTAGGAAATATGCATCTAATTAATATTTGCTACTTTGGTCCTGGTTTTTATCTTGGTCCATGGAAGTAACTGTAAAAAATCTCCTTTCTATAGCAATAACTTTTCCACGTGAGACTACGTTCTGAAGATAGAAAGTGAAATAGCATCAGATGGAGTAAAAAGTTGACTAGTAACTTTCAGACTGAATTTAAACCACTGAGTAAGGAGGACTAGCAAAATGCAGGACAATGTAGCACTTTAAAGACTAACAAGATGGTTTATTAGATGATGAGCTTTCGTGGGCCAGACCCACTTCCTCAGATCAAAGATTGTGTAATGACTTGAACTGTACTCTTTCCTGACACATGGGTGTCTAAATCCCATACTGTTGGGTTGCACTTGTGTAGTTCAGTTCATATTCAATATAAAATTGTGTATTGTGCATTCTGTTGCAGTAAGGCACACCAAAGTCAAGCTCCCATGATGCCCAAGGAAAACACTAATCCTCCAAGTATGTGAGTAACTCTGAGCAGTATTTGCTCAGGGGTTGCCCTGTCACACATTCCTTAACTCTTGTAGCAGTTGCTACAATGTGGCTATAGCAATTGTCATGGTTTAGTAGTTAAAGTGCTAGCTAAAATTGGTTTAAATTGGTTATAAATTGGATGGAGAATCTCAGTTGTGTAAAGCCTGCTAATGTTGGTGCATCAAGGATCTATTTTCTAATCGGTTTACTCAGACATCTTTATTTTATAGCCAGGACAAGAGCCTTTACTCTTACTACTTGTAGATAAGAGATTCAAAATCTTTTACTTCTATGTATAGGACTTGGCCCTCTTAAAATCTAGTCCTTGCCTGTTTCAGATGGTGCTAACTTCATTCATTTTCAGGGTTGGGGAGTTAATGTTTTGTAGTTCTTAGTAGTCTTTCGTTTAGATTGCACAGCAAAGCTGTATTGCTGTCTCAGTGAGAATACTGTACTGTGTTCACACTTAGGTTTCTATTGTTTTGAAAGTTTTTACCAGTTCTGCTGCTGCTGCTACTACTACTGCCCACTTATGAATATTTACCAAGATTTTCCTTTATCCAACCCCTTTATGGGATTGAAGAGGGACAAAGGAGGGTGAATTTGGGTGGATGGGAGATTCAGCCAGCCTCTATCGGTTACTTAATTAAAGGCAGTCCCCGAGTTACGCGGATCCGACTTATGTCGGATCCGCAGTTACCAACAGGGCTTTTCTCGCCCCAGAGGACAGGAGCGGCGGGCCGCCCTGGCCAGCAGGGAGACGGGGAGCAAAGCCTTGGAGCACGCCTGCAGCGGGACAGCCCGGGCGCGCTTGAGCTGTCCCCCTGCGGGCGTGCTCCGCGGCTTTGCTCCCCATCTCCCGACCAGCAGACCAGGGAGATAGGGAGCAAAGCCATGGAGCACGCCAGCAGTGGGACAGCTGCGGTGCGCCTGGACTGTCCCGCTGCCCCCAGGGGTGCTCCAAGGCTTTGCTCCGCGTCTCCCAGGTCAGCAGACCAGGGAGACTGAGCAAAGCCGTGGAGGACTTGGGCGGTCCCGCCACCCCCGTCTCCCTGGTCTGTTGGGGGGGAGTGCAGCTAGTGCCCCCCCCCAGCAGACCAGGCTTTTCTTGCCTACCCCTGGGGTAGAGCAGCTGGGGGCTGCCGGGTTGGTCCTGCAGCGCCGCTCCGGACCAACCCAGC